TGTTCCGGGGCGGGGGTCGGGGGGGCAGGAGGGCGTCAAGGTGACTGCTTGGTGCAGAGGACAGGGAGAGGGGCGTTACCTGGAGTTTCTGGTGCTGTCGAAGGCCCCCCGGGAAGAGGACCTTGGGGTCGGGCACGGTGGGGTACAGGGAGGATTCGCTGCACGTCGCTGCAAGCACGGAGGGCGCGGCCTGCGGGTGGGCTGCAGGCCCCCGGGGGCAGGGCCTGTGTCACCAACCCCCAAGTGCGTCGGGGGCACGGCTCGGTCAGATGGCGGACCGCCCAGTGTAAATCCCGGAGATTCATGGTGAGGTCAGAGCAGCCGGTTGCATGTGGTACGGTGTCACTACCCCATTGCACCGAAAACCTGTCCCTTCTCCGTCCCCTTTAGTTTTTATTCTGTTATAGGCACCATGCATCGGTGGACTCAATCTCAGTGCGTTCGAGGCCCCGTGTGTGTGCGTGGTATTTTTGATGTGGTCAGTGAATTTCTGTGCTTTTGTGTTTGTAATTGTTGTTAATATTTTTACTCAACATGAGGATGACATTATAAGTGGTTGAGCTGGAGTGTTTTGGAGAAATTTTTTTGTTGATGGGTTGGGTTGAATTTTATATTTTTTTTGTATTTTAATGGATATTTAAGTCTTGGGGGTGAGATAATTACTAAATTTGGTTTTCGCAACACAGAGCGCACCCTGCCTGCTGCACCTTTAGACCTCTGCGAGCTTTGCCTTTATACGGAAGGAGCAGCTTCACGGTTTTGTCCGTTGTTTAGAGAGAGAGAGAGAGAGAAAGAGAGAGAGAGAGAGAGAGAGAGAGAGAGAGAGGAGCCACAAGGGTCTCAGTGCATCTCGGGGGCTTCGCCTTAAGTCAGCCCCGGCGATCGGACCCCCCGGCCCGCCCTGCATCTCGGGGTTTCCCGGCTTATCAGCCCATCTCCCCAGGAAGTCTTGATGCTGCTGAGCTTCCGCTGTTGCTCGGCTGAGAACGGACCGCCCACCTCCACGTCCACGGCGTTCTTTCATTTCACGCAGGGAGACCCGGCAGAGAGGCTTGGGAGTCTATCTTGGGGGGACCCAGTGGGGAAGGGGCCCAGCGCCGATCCCCCAGGAGCCCCCCAGGGCAGGGAGACCCAGGCGTGGCCCGCACACTGCAATGTCAATCAACTCCTCTGACTTTCCTTGGGCTTGCTTCATAAATGGCCACAAACCGGGGGGGCTTAAAACAAAAGGAGTTTGTCCTCCCGCCCACCCCGGTCCCGGGGCCCCGGAGTGTGGAACGTGGGAGTCTCGGGGCCTCGCTCCCTCCACGGGCTCCAGGGGAGGCTCCTTCCCGCCTCTCCCGGCTCCCGGGGGCTCCAGGCGTCCCCGGGCTTGTGGCCGCAGCCTCACTCCCGCCTCTGCCTCCTCCGTCTGCCTCCACGTGGCTTCTCCTCCGCGTCTGCGTCCCTTCTGCCGTCTCTCATGGGGACACCTGTCGTTGCATTTAGGGCCCTCCCTCATCCAGGACGGTCTCGTCTTGAGACCCGTCACTTAATTACATCCTCAATGACCCCTTTTTCCAAATAAGTTCAGGGGAAGGAAAAAGAGAACACAAAACAAAGCCTTTGCCTTTTTTCCTGCCCTCTTAGGTTCAGTGACTGGGGCCTGCTAATTAAATGGACAAAAAGACAGATTAACAGGGGGGAAAGATTGATGTTGTATGCCCTCACATAAAAAAAGAAAAAGTGGAATTCCAAACAGAAGGTTGAGCCTCATAGATCATTTCAACAAAGGGCAGTGAAGTGGGAAGAGGAGGCTAGACAAAGAGAAAGGCTGTTTGTGCTTAGGACGGGGGTCAGTTTGGGGGAAATACTGGGTATCTGAGGTTGTCTATTAACTCCTTTGGGCACGGTGCTCACTGGCCACCACAAAACCTCGCCCACGGCCGGCACTCGCAGTCCGCACGGCGGTCTGTGCTGTGCATGGACGACGCGTCCGTCTTGCTCTTGTGTGATGAGGGAAGCTTGGAAGCACCGGAAGCTTGTTTCACTTTACAGGCAGCTTTGCTTGTCATGTAAATATCAGAACAGGTAACACAGACATGCATGTTTTCATGACGTTGTTTTTAAATGCTCACAATTTTATTTTGGTAAGTGAAAAATTAGAAAAGTCATATCACGGCTGTCGGCTAAAGCAGCCGTGCGTGTCCATCTGTGGCTGTCGACTATAGTGGATGCCGGGCTGTGCACGTTCATCTGTGGCTGTGGACTACAGTCACGCCGGGCTGTGCACATTCATCTGTGGCTGTCAACTATAGTGGATGCCGGGCTGTGCACGTTCATCTGTGGCTGTCGGCTACAGTCGATGCCAGGCTGTGCACGTCCATCTGTGGCTGTCAACTACAGTCAACGCCGGGCTGTGTGGGTTCATCTGTGGCTGTTGACTACAGTCGATGCCGGGCCATGCAGGTTCATCTGTGGCTGTTGACTACAGTCGATGCCAGGCTGTGCACGTCCATCTGTGGCTGTCAACTACAGTCAACGCCGGGCTGTGTGGGTTCATCTGTGGCTGTCGACTACAGTCGACACCAGGCCGTGCGGGTTCATCTGTGGCTGTCGACTACAGTCAACACTGGGCTGTGCGCGTCCATCTGTGGCTGTCAACTACAGTCGACGCCGGGCTGTGTGGGTTCATCTGTGGCTGTTGACTACAGTCGATGCCGGGCCATGCAGGTTCATCTGTGGCTGTTGACTATAGCAGAAACGGGCTGTGCGCATTCACCTGTGGCTGTCGACTACAGCCGGCACTGGGCTGTGCGCGTTTGTCTGTGGCTGTCGACTGTAGTCAACACTGTGCTGTGCGTGGCCAGTGAGTGAGCAAACCTTCACCTGCATTTACAGCTGCTCCTGTGCACCCACACCACCGCCTCTTATCGCTCGCTAGATTCTCAGGGGAGCACGAACCCTACTTACTATACAAACTGCGCACGCCAGGGCTCCAGGTTGCCAGCTCCTTATGAGAATCTAATGCCTGGGTCAACGGGAAAAAAAAAAAAAAGCCAAACTCTGCAAAATAATTTTAAAGAGGTTTATTCCGAGCCAAATGTGAGGACCGAGACCCGGAGCCACCGCCAAGAGGCCTTGGGCAAGCGGACTCGCCGTGGCCGGGTCGCGGTTCGGTTTTTATACATTTCAGGGAGAGACAGGGGTCAGAGGTAAAGCCGTCAATCAATACGTGGGAGGCGGACCTTGGTTTGGCCCAAAAAGGTGGGACATCTCGAAGCAGGGTGGGGGGCTTACAGGTTATATATAGGTGGGTTTAAAGACTCTTCGGATTGTAATTGGTTAAAGACGTGAAGCTTTGTCTAGAGGCTTGGGATGTTTTAACGTAAACTGTTTACCAGAGGTAAGCCACCGTTTGTTGCATAAACTGAGGACCATGCAAGGTGCCTCTTGCAAACCCTTAGGCCTGTCAATCAATCGGTCACAAAGGACGTCCCCAAGAAGGGAGGGGGGCATGATGAGGCCTGTCTGACCTCCCTCCCCCTGGCAGGCAATTTTGCTCTAAGATATTCCTTTGCCCACGAGGGGGTCCCTTCCGTCAGCCAGTGGGGGTGGGGGGTGATCCGAGGTGGAGCTGGGGAGCAGCTGCAAAAATCCGGGCGACCCTTAGAGGAGAGGTTTGGCTGCTTCCGTAAACGCGGACGGACGTGCCTGAAACCGCCCGCCACGCCCCACCCCGCGGAAAACCGGTCTTCCGCGATGCGGGTCCCCCGGGTGCCCCAGAGGTTGGGGCCGGCCGCTCCGGAGGGAAGCCCGGGTGGGTTCTCCGCCCTGCGTCTTTCCCCCCCTGGGGTGGGCTGAGTCGGAACCTTTCTTCCCGGCAGGAGTGGATGAAAGACGCCCAGAATGTGGCCCACCTGCCCAGGACGGGCAGCGGCGGCGGGGAGCTGGACTGCGGCCCCGAGGAGGCCCTGGTCGTGCAGGTGGCCAAGACCGCCACGGCCCTGGACAGCTTGAGCCGGAGCTCGGAGGAGGGACAGCCCCCCGGAGGGTGCTCCCAGCTCTTTCGCCGGCCCCCGCAGAGTGGGCCCGTGGTCTCTCTGGGGGGCTTCGAGTTTGTGATGAGTGACGGCTCCTACGTGATGCTGTGAATCAGGGTATGCAGCAGTGCCCAGGGCCCACGCCGGCACACGCGTGGATGTGTGGGGACCTGCCCGGAGGTCCCAGGAACCCCAGGAGCCACCGACGGGCGGACCCAGCCCCCCTCCAGGACGGAGGATGCTTGAGCCCGCGCTCCTCAGAGACCGGAGTCGAAAAAAGGGGGCAAAACACGGCCGGGCGCGGAGGCTCACGCCCGTCATCCCAGCACTATGGGAGGCCGAGGCGGGAGGATCGCTCGAGGTCAGGAGTTCCAGACCAGCCTGAGCAAGAGCGAGACCCCCTGTCTCTACTATAAATAGAAAGAAATTAATTGGACAGCTAAAAATATATAGGAAAAAAATGAGCCGGGTGTGGTGGCGCATGCTTGTAGTCCCAGCTACTCGGGATGGAGGCTGAGGCAGGAGGATCGCTTGAGCCCAGGAGTTTGAGGTTGCTGTGAGTGAGGCTGATGCCACGGCACTCACTCTAGCCTGGGCAACATTGTGAGAATCTGTCTCCAAAAAAACACAAAAAACAAAAACAAAAACAAAAAAAACAGAAAAAAAAAAGAAAAGAAAAGAAAAAGGGGCGAAACACATTACAAGTCGTGCCGTGAATTCCTCACCCACGCTTCTTGGGAACTAGAGATTGCATTTCTGCCCGGGAACAGGAATCCGGGGGGCCCGGGGTTGGGGGGGGTGTCCTTTTTTTTGTCCACAGGAGAGACGGCTCAAGGGAATTGTCCGGGCAGAAGTGACAACGTAGATGGGGGTCATCGGGACCGTGAGCTGCAGCTAAAACTGCCTGAGTGGACCCCACTCCTGGCCAAGGGGACGCCCTAAAACCGAGTCGCCGGCCAGGAGGAGGGAGGTCAGACCTGCCCCTTCTCGCCCCTCCCTTCTTGGGGACATCCTCGGTGACTCAGTGACCGGCTGAGGCCGTGCAAGCCACTCCTGCAGGTCCTCAGTTTACACAGCAAATGCGTGTCCGGTGGTGGCTTGTCTCTGATGAGCAGACGTCCTTATCTTAAAACATCCCAAGCCTTTAGACAAAGCTGCATGTCCTTAACCAATTGCAACTCAAAGAGTCTTTGAACCCACCTGTAACCTGTAAGCCCCCCACTTCGAGACGTGCCCCCTTTTGAGGCCAAACCCACACGCAACTTCCGTGTATCGATCTACGACTTTCCCTGTGGCCCCTGTCTCTCCCTGAAATGTGTGAAACCAAAACCCTCGCTGGAGGCATCCCTGGGCGTGGCTCCGGGCCGTGGCCCTCCCATCCGGCTCAGAATAAACCTCTTTCAAATATTTCGGAGTCTGGGTGTTTGCGTCCACGCTAGGCTCCGAGCGTGCTGCTCAGGTGGCTCGGTTTTCTCTCTTCCTACGTCCAGGTGCGTAAGGTCGCCCTGTGCCTGGCGGAATATTCGAGGTTGAAAACTCTCCCTGCGGTTACCGGGAACTCCCCTCCCCCCGGCCCTGTGCTTTGTGTCACTGTGGTTGACGCGAAGAGAAGAGGGGGCGCCCCCCTGAGATACTACCTGGAGATACTAAGTGGGTTACTGGCGCCCCCGTAGATAGCGCAAAGTGGCAGTTCCCCCCCGTACCCCGAGACTTGAGGGTCTCTGGGCAATGGAGATCTCGGTTCTCTGAGCAGGGACGGGGCTGAGTGCTCTGTCTCCTCTGCGGCTGCGATCCCTGGGGCTCGAGCAGCCCCCCTGTGGGTGAGCCGGTGCTGTCCTTGGGGAAATAGGAGGAAACACAGAGCCGCTCCCCAACCCGGATAACCCCGCCGCGAAGGTGGGAGAGAAAGAAAACGTTTCGTCGTTGAAGACGCCGCGAAACCGGGCTCCCCCGCCCCTCCTCCGGGCAGTCGGCTGAGACGGCTGCACCCTTTTTTGCAGCCGGGTGGAGACCACTCGTGCCGTCCATGTGCTCAGGGAGACACTGCTCGTCTTCTCGCATCTTTGGGATTTAGGTTTTGCGACGTGGGGCCGGATGCCAGCGTGAGTCCTGGGAGAGTGGGAGATGAGGGATTGTAAGCACACTGCGGAGGCGGCTTCCTGGTTCTCTGGGAACGTGCCCGGGCTGTGAGACATGGGAGAAGCGTTCTTAGGGTTTGCCTTAATATGGCTATGTGCATGTGTACATGTGTGTATGCATGCATGTGTACACATGCATGTATGCATGCACGTGTGTGCGGGCATGTATGCATGTGTGTGCAAGTGCATGTGTGCACTAGTGTGTACATGTGGACACGTGTGTTTGTGCATGTGTGTATGCATGTGCATTGTGTGCATACATACATGTGTGTATGTGTGCATGAGTGTGTACATGTGTGCACTTGTGTTTGTGCATGTGTGTATGTATGCATGTGCATTGTGTGTGCGCATGTGTGTGCATGCATGCGTATATGTGCGTGTGTATGTACATGTGCACGTGTGTATATGTGTGCATGTATGTACATGTGCACGTGTGTTTATGCATGTGCGTTCATGCATGTATGCATGTGAATGCATGTGTACAAGTGGGTGGGTGCATGTGTGGGCATGCATGTGTACAAGTACATGCATATATGTGTACATGTGCATGCATGCGTGTATGTGCACATGTGTGCACCTGTGCACCCGTGCATGCCATGTGTGCACCAATGCACTGTGTATGTACATGTATGTGTGCACCTGTGCATGTGTATATGCATGCATGTGTGCATATGTGCATACGTGGAGTTGGGGAGGAGGCTCCCCTTGGCGTTTCCCTGCCCCGAGCACCCCGCTACGGGTCTGCCACCCACAAGCCTCCCCTCATCAGCCCGGACGCCTGGCTCCACGGCCACCAGAGGCGCCTGGGTCCCCCTCGGGCTGTGCCTTTAGGTCAAACCGAGTCCCAGAAAGTGTCGAGGGGGCACCCTGGAGCACAGCTCGCTGAAGCGGATTTTTCTGGGCAGGCGGCACATGTGGACCCAGGACGTGTCTTTTCTGTGCCCTGCAAACATTTCACAGAGTCCCGTTTCGGGAAAGTGGCTTGGCCGTGGGTGCACCCGTTCCGTGGCAGTGAATTAACGGGGTTCAGGACTCACCACCCCAGAGACGGCACCTTAGCGTTCGAGAGAAAGGCAGAAACAGGAGAGGTCCCCTGACCTTCTCCCTTAAGGAGGCCGGAACACCCAGGAGGGGCGCTCGGACCCTGCCCTGAAGCTGCCACGAGACCCTCCCCAGAGAGGGGCCTCCCTCCCTGCACCCGGAGAGAGGGGCCTTCTCATCTCTGGGGACCCGGGACACGGAGAGTCTGCCCACACAGGCCTGGCCGGGGCCCCCACGGTCCTTCCCTCGAGCTCAGGGGCCCCGAGTCTAATGGCACTTCTGCACGACTGTCCACACTCTGCCACAAGGAGCACAAAAATGCATAGTTTTCCTTTCCCTTTGGGCCTTCACCTCCCTGGGAGGCCTCCGTGTCGTGCGAAACTTCTACCCAACGCACACATGCGTGCTTTCCGCTCTTGCCTTTTGCTCTAGGGGCCTCCGCTGCAGACCTGGCGACAGGTGAGGAAATGCAATCTTTCCTCCCCTGCACATGGTTCAGGAAAAGGGTGGCCTTGACCTTTCCATAGCAAAGCGTTTTAAACGCAGTCGGAAGTCTCGTTGAGACCGGGATTCAGAAATCCTTCGAAATATCGGCAATTCCGCGTGTGCTCAGCGGCCGCCCGAGATCCACCTGTGGAAGGAAGGGCCTGGGGCTCACAGACTGAGTAGATGATTCTTAAGGAGAGGCAGAGCCGGGCAGCAATGCTGTAAAAGGAGATTTTTATGCAGGAACTATGGAAGCAGGGGAAGAGACCTCACTAGCTGGGACCACAGGCGCCACCAGGCTGGGCTAACTTTCAAAAATTTTTGTGGAGATGGGGGTCTCGCTATGTTGTCCAGGCTGGTCTCAAACTGGCCTGAAGCCATCCTCCTGCCTCAGCCTCCCGAGTAGCTGGGACTACAGGTGTGTATCAAGACGCCTGGCTAACTTTTTAAAAAATTTCAGCATATTATGGTACAAATTATGGGTATAAATTTTAAGGTTGCGTATAATGCCCTTGCCCCTACAGGTGTGTATCAAGACACCTGGCTAACTTTTTAAAAAATATCATCATATTATGGGGGTACAAATTTTAACGTTGCGTATAATCCCCTTGCCCCCCTCCCCTCACAAGTCTGAGTTTCAAGCGTGACCATCCCCCAGACGGTGCACATCTCACTCGTTATGTATGTGTACACCTGCCCCCCTCCCACCTGCCCAATACCCAATAAATGTAATTCCTATGTGTCCACTTTCGTGCTGACCATTTAATACCAATTTGCTGCCGAGTACATCTGGCTAACTTTTTAAATTGTTCGTGGAGATGGGGTCCTGCTATGTTGTCCAGGCTGGTCTCAAACTCCTGGCTGCAAGGGATCCTCCCATCCCAGCCTCCCAAAGTACTGAGGTCACAGGCGTGAGCCACCGCACCCAGCTAGCGGCTGGCTCACTTGATGACGGATTTGCGGAGTTCTATTTTAAATATCTGCAACCTGCAGTGCCCATTATATAATCACAGCCTCAGCCCCAGCCTTGGCGGGGCTTAGTAGGGAAACGCAACGTGTGGGGTGTTTGAAAAGTGGCTGGTCTTTTCCACATCCATGGAGAGGTGTGGGCATTGGGGTCACCCCGTTTTGGAGAGACAGAGATGCCAGGCGCTGCCCTGGAGACGAAGGCATGCATACCCCTGCCGGGTGCAGAGCTGGTTTGTGCACAGGTGTTGGGAGCTTTCTGTCTCATCACTCACGGCAACAGCAAAGCCTGACAGGCATGGCACGGTGCAAGTGCAACCCAAGACCCCTTCCGGCTTTGCCGCTCCCGGTCTCTGAGCCCCCCACACTCCGGCTGAGGCCTGCCGGGTCTGCCCGTCCATTGCTCTACCCACCACGATCTATAGTTTGACCTCTGTTTTTGTGATCAGCTATTGAATAGTCAGCCCAGCACTCTGGGAGGCCGAGGCGGGGGGATCGCTCGAGGTCAGGAGTTCGAGACCAGCCTGAGCAAGAGCGAGACCCTGTCTCTACTAAAAAATAGAAAGAAATTAATTGGCCAGCTAAAAAATATATATATAGAAAAAAAAAATCAGCCGGGCGTGGTGGTGCATGCCTGTGGTCCCAGCTACTCGGGGGGAGGCTGAGGCAGGAGGATCGCTTGAGGCCAGGAGTTTGAGGTTGCTGTGAGCGAGGCCTTGACACG